CTGCTTTAGTAAACACTGCAGGCTCATCCAGCAACCCCATTTGCACCCATCTGCATCAACTTAAGCACAGCCCTCACCACCACTCCACTGCACGGTGTTGAAGAATTCAGACTATCAGTGCACACCCATAACAGCATCCCACCCCCAGAGCAGGGAGCAGCAAACAGGTGCAGCACAAAGCCTTGTGGCTGGAGCTGCTTTAAGTAGCACAGTCAGAAGAGCACCAGGGCACTGGCATCTCAACAACCCCAGGAGAAGTATTTGCACACAACTATTGGCAAGCTCTCCAGCACTGGAGCTGGTTCCTGGCCCGCTCCCCACCACAGCACAGCATTTGCCCAAGCAGATGCCTGGAAGGACACGAGCAGGGATCTGGCATCTGCAGTAACTATTAAGGTATAAAAGGTTGTTTGTTAGCAGGGCAGCATGTGGCTGATTGCTGCCATGGCTCTGTGTCTGCCACTGACCCACTTTGCTGTTTGCTTGCGTTCCCAAAGGATGGAGCAGCCCTGAAAACATGCCTGGAGCAGCCCAAACCCAACCACTTCCACACCCAGTACCAAGGCATCAGGCCTGGCCCTTACAGCCAGTGCCCCCCCCAAAGCAAGGCTGCCATGGGAACACCCAGTGGGGTGCAGTGCACAGGGCAAAGCTGGCAGCTTTCCGGATGCCAATGGAGAAGAAGGCAGCAGACCAGGCAAACTCATGTCTGAAGAGGACTAGGTGTTACAAATAGCTTGTACGAGGGAGCAGAGAAACCAAGGCTTGCTAGGAAAACAGCAGAAATGTATGGAAGACACGCTGACGCAGCCCACATCTAGAGGAAAGAATAACAGCCCCTCATTTTCACGAGCATTAGAGCTCACAGCATGCTCAGTCTCACAGGAGTTCTGATTTCAGCCCATTCTACCATTCACACACCGTGTGCTGGAGATCATCCTGCAACACATCATCAACATCTCCAAAGAATCCCAAGGTGACTGCGTTTAAAATGAAACTTGCAGTACCCTCCAGGAAAGCCTTGGAGCTGATGTGCCCAGGGTAACAGAGACAGCAACCTATTTCAGGATGAGTCGTTGCAAAGCAGCAGCCTGTGGTGCTGTGCCAGGCTCTGCACCTGGGGAGAATCCACCACCTTTCTGTGGCTTGCCCTCAGTTCACACCACACCAGCTCCAAAGTAGCAGCCTGGTGGGTTTCATTTTGCAAGCCCCATTTTGGTGGGTGTTTCCACGCTTGCAGAGTACCAGGAATACATTATCATGCTTTTTAGGCTCTGCAAGGCAGGAATGGTGTCCTTATTACAGTGTCAAAACTTGCCTCAATCTGTATTACTTGAAGCCAACTGTGAACACACACCCTGCAAACTGTTTCAGCTTGAGGGATTTGTCCAAGGACAGCAGCGTGGCATGGGGGCTGAACACCTCACCCCCATCCTGTTCATGGCAGAAAAATATCCTCATAATACTACAAAGCACTCAGCTTGAGATGTTATAAAAGCTGATACCAAGGGACAGAGAAGAGGAGGATGCTCCAAGAGGTGCTATGGATATCAGTCAAGAGAAACACCTCCAGATGCAGCTCTTATTTAGGACCTGCAGCATGAGATGCAAGGCAGACTGTCAGCAGGTTGTAGCTCAGAACTGGGGGTCTGGAAATAATGCTTAAAAACCTCAGTGTGGGGCATCAGAGGAGAAAGAACCAAGAGCTGCCACAGCTCAGCACTGCAGTGCATTAAAAGAACTGCATGCAAGTTCCAGGGGTGGGCACAAGCTGTGCCCAGAGCTGAGCAATGGGGTGACACAAGGCAGATGCTCAGAGCTGCCTATGACTGCAGGAGGGTCTGTGCATCCGCACAGCCAAGGGAGAACTGTGGACGGGCAAAGCACACACAGCACCTGCTCGTGCTGTGCCTGGATCCAGTCAGCACTGTCAGCCTCTCACTTAAAAAAAAAACCCCAACAAATAGAGTTTTCTCCCATCCAAACCTCTCTCCTTCCCCCTCTGAGCTCATTCATGGCTCAGGCTCCGGGACAGCTGCCTGGCTGCCAAGTCCCCCCAGCTCACTCCTCGCCTCAGCACAGAGCAACATGAGCAGGATGATAGCAGGGCCAGCTGTGAGAAATCACTGCACCACTCAAAACAACTGCAGCAGAGAGCGAGCAGGGGAAAAAAAACATAAAACTGCAGCAAGCCCCTCAACTCCGTCTCCTCTGCCTGCCCACTGTGGTCTCATTGTTACAGCGATCCTCAAGTCACCAAGCCAGCCCTGGCCAAAATGACAGCTCATTAGGAACAGTTAAAAAACTACAATGGGTGGGGAGTGCAGAGCCCAGGGAGCAGGCAGTGGATTTTTTCACACCTAGGTGATTGTTCAGAACGCAGCTCAGGTCGATGGAAGTGACCTGGATCCCGGCTGGGCGCGGGGCCAGCAGGCTGCAGTGTGAAGCCCTCAGCTGCTGCAGAGCCCTGCTGACACCCCAGAGCTGCTCGGTGTGAGCTGGGAGCCTGCAGGGCCTTGTAAGCATTTACATTTTATGCAGTCTCTGCTTCCAAGAGTTGCCAAGCTCTTAACCTGCAAGCTCAAATCAAACCCAGAGCCTTCTCTATGGATAACAGACAAAAAAACCCTGTTTGGCTACAGCCACTTACTGCCCCCTGCAACTCCACAGGAACCATTTTTGTTTAAATGAGAGCACAAAGAAGGCAGTGATGCCCATGCTTATGTTTGTGGAAACATATTGTTTCCCCATGGTGACTTGCAGAGTGGGCTCCCAGCCGTCCTCAAGTGACACCAAGCATCAGCACAGGGATGCTGAGGGGATGGAGCTGCTCACCAAACACAGACATCAGGAACAGCACAATCTCAATAGCTTGGCAAGACAGACGGGATTCGGAAAGGCAAATATGCCCAGAAACTCCACTGATAGCAGCTTTGGCAGTCAAACCAACTGTGGCTTGCTGTCCCCAAGAGGACAGCAGTGCTGGGGACACAGCTGATCCCAGCAAGGCAGGAGCAGAGGTCTGTCTGTGCACATGGGACTGGGATGGGGCTCAGAATGCCATGGCAGCTGCTGCTGGTGACAGGACTGCGTGGGAAGCTGAGAAAGAGCAACAGCACTCAGGCAGTTAAGAACAATTTTTTCTCAGTGTATCACCTTACTGCTGCTCCACAGCCCTCAAGGCAGGCCCTGCAGCCCCTCTGTGGCAGGGCAGCATGGGGCCCTGCAGCCCATTTCAATTTGAAGCCACTCCCAGGCGATCATGCTATTGTCCCACTTTCCCTGTTTGCTGGCTGGCACAGCATCTGGGAGGCACAGCATGGCTGCTCCCCCTCTACACCTCCTGCTCACATGGGATACCAGCCACAGCACAGAGCTCTGGGAATTTCCCTCAAGATTTTAGGTGAGTCTCTGCCTCTGGGATGCTCGGATACACCCTAAAAATCAGCACCCCTACAACATGCCTCCACACCTCCTCTGTGCTGCACTAGCTCCAGAGAAACAGCAGAGCCCTGATCTGTCAGCTCTATTTAGCTTTGCTGCAGGCACATCTGATGAAGCAGAGCTAGAGGTTATGCTCCCTGTTACAAAGCTGGAAATAAGGTTGCAAGAAAAAAATGAACCAAGATAACAGTTCTAGGATGTGCCTGCCACCAGGATGCCTCTGGAGCTGCATGCACCTTCATCTCCCTGAAACACATTGGTGTTTCTGTACTGAGTTCCTCCAGCACAAACCCTCCTCAGCTTTACTCCCTGCAGGGCAGTGCCCCCACCCTGTTGTGCAGCCATCCCCAGAGTTCTGCCTCTCCTGGATGTGGGCTAAGCACAAGGGAAAGGAACAGGGCTTCACCTCTGCTGTGCAGGGGACTCTTGACTCTTCAGAAGCAGCACTGATTGCATGCGTTTCAGCAAGCCCACGGGCTCCCACATCCTCTCAGCACATGAAGGAACAGCTGACTGTTAGCTAGTCAGGAGTCTGGTCCAGATGAACTCCTCCCTTCCTGTCCTCTGCCTTCCAGAAAGCCGCTCTCTCCCTTTGGACAAGTTGATCTCTCACCTACAGCAAAGGCTCTGCCCTCAATAGTGAGAGCAGGAGCTTCTCCAGCCTCTTCTGAGATTGCTGTTCCTTGCCAAGTCTCCAGCAGAAGCATCCTGACAGCCTGCTGCCCTCGTTTCCCTGTACCACCTCTTCCCACAGAACAAGCTTGCTGCCACCAGGTGGGATAGCACAAGCCTATCTCTGCCCAAACACTGCTTTTGGGCAACCAGTTTCTTTTTCTTCCATTCCTTCATCGTCTGAGGCTTTGATGTGTGCACAGAATGGAGGACAGATGGACAGGCTGTGCCCTGTGGGACAGCGATTGCAGGATGAGGTAAGGCAGAAGGAAGTGGGTGCTGCAGGCTGAAGGACAGCTGTAGCTGTTCCCAGGATCTGGAGCAAGCTAATTGATAAATAGCAGAGTCAGAGCTAGAGGAAAGCTGGGCATTCACAGCCAAGAAAGCCTAACTGCTTTGGAAGACATTCTGGCCTTTGTTACACAATTTCCATGCAAAGCACTCACTGTACTCAGAGAGCGAGAGGTGAACAGGGGATAGATAACGCACAGCTCTCACTCATTGCACAGCTCAAAGCACAGCTCAGCACCATCCTCCAGCTTCCCACCTAGCAAAGAGCACAGCCTGCAGCAGCCAGCACTGCAGCTCGTCCTGGCAACTGCCACTGGGGGAAGCAGAGTAGGGAGCAGCAAGGTTTCAGCCTCAGAGCAGCAGCTCCTATGGCTTTCACAGTGCCCAGGGCCCCTTGGAGCCTCAGATGATGGTAAGCCAAAGTTTTCCAAAAGGAAGACTTAAGAACAGCCAACCGAGAGGTAAATAAAAGCCAATTGGAAGCACCACAATTCACAATTCAGTAAGCCAGCCTAGTGCTGGCCTGGACAACAGCTACATTAACAGAAACCCAGGTCTATTCCCACCAACCAACAAGTTCAACCAAGCCTTACCTTACCCAAGCAAACAGCATCCGAGATCCAGCCAGCACTGCTGCCTGATGCTCAAGATGATCTGGCCGCTACAGAAGGAACCTGGGAACAGAAGGAAAAAAGCTGTAAGCCTTCCAAAAGACCCAGGCATAACATGCTCACCACCTCCCTACTGCTCCTCAAGGCTTTGCCTTCCTTTATCACCCCCAACCCTCCCACCAATACCAAACATACCCAGAGTACTGCCTTGCCCAACCACTCCACCAAAAAGCAGCCAGCCTCAGCTCAGCCTGACTTATATCAGCTCCCCAGCCCTCACAGCCCTGCGAGGACAGATGATTACTCTTCTCCAGGTGGGACAGGTTACTCTATGAGCCCCACAGGTGTCCTGGGGAGCTCTTCTAGATGCAATTTGAGCCACTGCTTCTGCAAGTCTGGGCAAACTTTGTATTTCTATGCTTCCCAGCCACAGCAGCAGGACATGGGCAAAGCCTGTGTGTGCGTGCACCAAACACACGTGCACACCATCGTGTGCAAATTATCTGTCTTCCATTTGTGTTTGGTTTGGCTGCACAGCCTGCTCTCTGCAGGCTCAGCCAGTGGATATCCCGGCTCAGATAAACAGCAGACAGCTGCTGGGAGTCAGAGATATTCTGGTGATTAACAGCTGTGTGGGTCTATGCAGCAGAGCCCCCCGACCCCTGAGATCCCTCCTGAACAGGCTGTTTCTTTTCAGATTTCTGTTTGTCAGGGGAAGGCTGGGAGTGATCAGAGGAGATTCTCTGTGAAAGTTGCAGGTGAAACCCAGTGAGAAGAAGCTGCAGCCCCAAATCCTGTCCCTTCCTCGCCGCAGCAACGTTTGAGCTTTGCCAATGGCTCTTGCGCAGCACTGCAGTGCCAACAGCAAAAATGAGACTGCTCAGTCTGAATTCCCTAAGATGGAATTCAGAGATGATCATTTCCAAAGATCTGAGGACATTCCAGGACGATGCTCTGGCTGGAAGGAGGGCTTCTTTCTGTTAGAGAAGGGAGCAGAAAGGGATGGAAATCCATCCCTGGTGTGGGACGCCTTACTTACAAGCCAAAGACTTTTTGATGGATGAAGGGGGTGAGAAGTAGGAAGTTGCTCACAATGCGACTATAAAAACAAAGTCAAGAGATTAGTTAATAACGTGTGGTCTGAGAAAACAAACACGTCTTTCCATAAAGACCCTAGTTCAAATAAACCGGTGCTGTTGTCGTTAAGCCCTGCCATCTGCATGCCTCTTCTCCACTGGGTCCAGTGTGAAATTTAAAGGGACCACTGAGTGGAGGAAGAGTCCCCAAACATCATCCTGTGGGGCACTTCAAATCCAGATGTGGCTGAAAGGCACTGTGATATGAACTCCTCCCTGGGTAATGTGTATTGAAATGGGATGTCTACAGTTGAATGTGCAAAGGCAGGAAGCCTATGGTGAAAGGGCTGAGTTCATAGAATGATTTGAGTTGGAAGAGAACTTAAAGGCCACCTGGTCCAACTCCCTGCGATGCACAGGGATACACACAGCTCCATCAGGAGCTTAGAGCCTCATCCCCTGACTCTGGGTGCCTGCAGGGATGGGGCATCACCAGTTACAGGACGGTCTCTTCGAAAGGCTGAAGCCTGACAAAGTCAGCAAGCATAGGGTGCACAGAAAGGGGGCAGGGTGTGCCCATGGGGCTCGTGCCCTCCTTTGGCTCTCAGCTGCCACCATTTGGTGGAGAGCAGAGACCTCCCTGGCTCTGCCCTGGTCATGCTTTCATGCTTGATTGCAGCTCATCAAGGCCCGAAGTCTAATAATGCAACAACTGAGGCTGGGAGCTCCCTCTGACAGTTTAACTGATGGTTGTAATTAGGAACTAGCCCACACAGCTTTTCATTAGTGTGCTGCACCGCGTAAGACTTATTATGACTGTTGAGAAGAGACTGTGCTTGACGTCCAGGAAAAAGGCACGAAGGCCTCCAGGGAACCGAGGGCAGCAAGGCCTGGTGTGAACAGGGAGCACACGCATTTTCCAGGTGGCAGGTAGAGTCCTCTGGGCTCCCTGCTTTCTTCCTGCCTTCTCCCTTCGCAAGCAGAACCTGCTTCTCTCACCCGCCCCCTAAAAACCCCCTAAGCACCCCCTAAACAGGGTTTTGTTTGTGTCAGTTCCATCCTGCAGCCTCAGTTCTTCTGACTCTTGGGCAACGTCTGCTCTGCTCGTAGCTGTTTGATAGAAGAACTTGTGATTGTAAATGGCATGGGGAAGGAAAGGGAAATAAACTGGTTATCGTGCCAGAATCACTCCTGGCACTCCTCCCATTCCTATTTTCTCTTACTTTATAAAGCTGGAATAAATCAGAATGATTTTCCCTGGAGTGAGCAGCACACCGATGTGCTGATGGAAGGGGAGCAGAATCAGCACCTCAGGCCTTGCAGTGCTGTCCTGAGCTGCAAGTGGTGGGGAAGGGGAATAGAGTCTGAGTGTTTATTAGCAGTCATAACCTTAATCAAATAACACTCAAGGATATGTAAAGAAATCTGTTCCAACTGCAGCCTCCCAAGCCAAATAAAGGAGTAAATGGGACTTCTATCAAAAATCTCTTTTAAAACGCACGCATGTTGGGTCCTGAAAAATATCCCCACTTCTTGCGGAGGAGCCAAAGCTCCAAAGGAGCCACCCCAGAGCAAACCACGGCCCTTCGTGCCACACACCAACCCAACACGCTGCGGGATGGCGATGCTCTCCCTGCAGACACCAAAGCAGCCCTGAGGCATCTCCCAGCTCAGGGATGTTGGACCTTGCATTGCAGGAGCCTCATTCACTCTCTTCCCCCCACCTATGGGACCGTTTACGCATTACGCAGAACGATGTGGGAAAAAAGGAAAGAAAAGAAAAGAAACAGGCCCTGTGTAATAGAGGTGCACGTAAATAATCACTGGCCTAATCCCCTTTGACAATGAAAGATATCCAACCAGAAAATGTTCAAGCCTGTAACTCAACCTGAAATTTAAGCACAAGGAAGTTGTGTCAAAAGGGGACTTGGGTTCCCATAAAAGCCTCTCTGCTTTCAGACCCTGGGCCCCCAAGCCAAAAAAACAGAGCCAACTTCCAGACATAACATCTGAGAAGTGCAGGCCTCGCAGAGGGACTCGCAAACTGCTGCACAGAGACAGCCACTGGGAAGGCATGGGGTGAGGGTCCTGGGCGCCTGGTGGGCGGCCTGCTGTGCCAGGGAGGGATGCTCTCCAGCACAGGACCTGAGGGATGAGCTGTGTTGTCCTACGAGGTCACTGACAACTCTCTCCAAAGGGTCATCTTAAAGCCAGCTGGGCAAAGTCCTGCAGAAGCTCCTGTGCAACCCTCCTGAAGCTGATGTGTGACTGTAGCATTTCGTTCGGTGCAGGAAGAGGAGCCCCTGGGCAGAGAGAGGCGGATTAAATAACCTTAATTGTGGTTTCAAGCCTCCTGCTTGACTGCTTCTATTCCACTGAGGATAACAAGTGTGTGAGGTCCAGCGCAGAGAGGGGAAGTGCTTGTCCCTCTCATCCCACTCCTTGCAGCCTCATTAACTCCACTGGAGTGGATATGTCCCTCTGTGAGGACCTGATGTTAATCAGTGGTCGTAAGAAAGACAAGAAGCAATATGAGCTAAATGCTGGGTTCTCACATCACCTTGTTCCTCTCCTAGCTCATGCCCCATCCAAGGAAAGGCAAGCCACTGGGGCTTCAGTTTGCACACCCATTACATCCACACCCCTAACAGGTCCATCTGCCGTGCCTCTGCTCTGCATGCACACTGCACCCTCTGCCTGCACACAGAGAACCAGCATCCTGGTGACAGAAATACCAGGAGAGAAGTCCTGGGAAAGCAGGCACAGAGCAAAGCCAGTGCAGCTCCGCTGCAGGACTCCGTGGTTTCCGTGCTTTATCTGGCTTTACCCAGAGCCTCTAAACACACAACCCTGCTGGTGTTATGTTTCTTCCCCCGACAGCATCCCTCCTGATACGCTGGGGAGTTTCTCTTTGCTCGTTGGGAATTTTCCTATGAGCTGGTTTCTCATCGGAAAATGCCGATACACTGAAATCAAAGCTCTTGGTGGGAACGCAGCAGTGTCAGGGGATCTTCCATGGGAAAGTTTTCTCCAAACGCAGGCTGGAGCTTTCTGTGTGAGCCAGCCCTTCCCTGCCACCTGGCACAGCAGTGTCCCCCTGGGATGGGGACACCCCCACCCACTTTCCTCTCCCTGAGGATATCCACCATGAGTTAGCGCGACTTGGGTTGGAAGGGACCTGAAGCAGGGCTGGAAATGGGTTCGGATTTGGGAGAGGCACCACATCGTGAGAGCTGAGTCCTACCCCACACCCGGCTCCAGCTCGGTGGGGTCTCCTCGTCCCCTATCCCACAGGCTGTGCCCCCTCAGCCCTTGGAGGTTCTGCCATGGCTGAGACAACAGCACCACCGTGCGCCTCTGCAGCGCCGGGGGAGATGCAGGCAAAGCCCGCAGCTCCCTCTTGCGGCTCCTACAGCATCCCGGAGATGAGGATGGGGATGCAGGGTAAGCACAACCCTGCCTGAATCTCGGCTGCGTTCTGGGGGAGCCGCTCCTGAGCACGGCAGGAGCCCAGCGGGCGCTCACACCTGGTTTCACTAAATATATTACCAAAAACCATCGCAAAGGTTGTGGTCCTTCTGCACTCTGCTGCTGGAGTGCTGGAGCCCCTAAGCACTAATCTTGCAGAGCTGAGGGCAGTTTGTTCCTGTTTGTCTGGTTTTTTTCCCCACAAACAATCTTTCTCCTGCAACCGCTTTCTAAATTCACACTGATGACACGGGGTCCTTCTGAGGTTTTTCCCGACAACAATCTGAAGGGCTGAGAGATTGCAAAACGTCTCAGTGCTGTCTTATCTGCCAGGGCTCGAGCCACTCTCCAGGCTAAACACAGCTGCTGCCAAGCAGAAAAGTTGAACAGCTGCTTAAGGACAACACCATCCATAGAACAAGTGCAGCAAACTTGTTGCCCAAGGAAGGCAACATAGGCAGCCCTACTCAGCCACGCTCGTCTTATGCCTGGCTGCTGTGTCCCCAATCTCCCTACAAT